CTTAGAGCCGTTAGATTAAAAAAGATCAACAACTCTGATTTGTAAACGTGTGATATCATTGATCTTTTTTGATTTATAAGGTGTCAAATTTTAAATTTGACACGATGTCAAATGATCCTACCTATATATATATATATATCTATCTATATATATATATATATATATATATATATATATATATATATATATATGCTATCTATGGTGGAGGAGTTTATGATGTGCCAAAGTTCACCCTGTCACAGCAGTGGAAGAACATGTAGGTGCATGGGAATGGAAATTGATGTTTTTGCACATTTGGTAGAACCTTCTCCTAATCTAAATATTTTATGGGTTCGTTTTTTCACTTATCTGCAGCAAGTCAATACGACGTCGTTTTGGGGCAGAAATCATGGTATATTTGTAATTTTAATTTATTTCAAGGTTATAATAGTTTTTATATTCATAATTTTTTAAGATTTCAATACCAAAACGACGTCGTTTTAAAAATAAATGCAGATAATTTATCTGCATTAACTGCAGAAACATTTTTCCCATATTTTATGTATAAAAAGAAAAAATGTGCTACTTTAACTACATGCGTATAGGCGTCCAACCATTTATATTATTTATTCTTTAATTTATTGATTAAAATTAAAACATGTCCATCATTCGATATTGAAAACCTTAAATACATACGTAGCGTACAATAATTTATTAAAAAATCATAGTCATATAATTAAGTAATTAAAAGTGCACATCAATAAAAAAAAATGGCATGATTGAAAGCTATGAAAAAAGTGGGTTTAACTCTCCTCCTTCCATTCTCTAATTAAAAAAAATTACCCGTTTATGGCGCATGCTACTTAATAACAATATCTCCAAGTGGAATTTAAAGTTGGAAAATTGTGCAATCAAATCAATCTCCATATAAGGTGGGTTGTTTTGGTATCATCCAAGCATTTAATTATGCAAAACGCTTTGTCGTAACTCGCCCATCAGATCAGAGGTCTTCCTCGCAGATCCTTTGATCCTTTTAAGTATTTCTAATTAATGTATTAATATGTTGATATGTTTTGAAAAATCATTATTATGTAGAAAGCTGTCTCAGTTTACAATTATAAAAAAAAAAAAAAAAAACTTATTTCAAATATCAGACCTGCACATTTTTAGTAACTTACTTTGTAAAAAAAAAAAGAAAAAAAAAAGTAAAAGTATCTTAAAAAATTATGTTTTAAAAATAAGTTGCTAGTAGATATGCACTAAATCTAAAGCAGACTTAATTAGGAGGCCAGCAGCACAATTGCAATGTTGTTAAAATCGAGATCTTAAATACAATCGGAAGAGGATTAAAACATCATAAAACATAAAATTGTAATGTAAAAAATTCGTAAAAACGTAAAAGCATTTGGAATATTAGTAAAATCGTTTTGATGAAAAAAAAAAAAAAAACATAAAATTGTAGTGATAAATTAAGATTTTAACAACAATGCCCAATTGGCCTGAGTTGCTTTTTGTTTTTGTTTTTTTTGTCATTTTTTTTTTTTTACTTTTAATGTAGTTAAAGGAAACGCAAGCATTTATAGGGTTTCTCACATCACAAATCATGGATGCTATATTAATATATTGGAGTGTATGGGTTGTGACATTTGATTGAATATGGGCATAGAGATTGCTTTAGGTGTTATATATATATATATATATATATATATATATATATATATATAGTGAAGTGTCTTTTATTTAAACTAAGTGGAGTGCCTTTATTTTCCATCTTATGTGAGTTTACATTGTCAACCAGGTTCCCGTATTTTGTCGTCTTCATAAAATGCGCAATTAAATAATTATCGTTACATCCGGAGATTGAATATCAAATCATTCAGCTTAATTTACATATGGAGAGAGACTTCCACCTGTCAGCAAACATAGTTTTAGTTGGGCATTAAAGCCTTTGAAGGACCACAAATCGGTCCTTTAGTTCATCAAGATGAAGCAACCTTGAGTACCTGCGTTAGTAAAATATTAATGTCAAGCTCTTTCGGTATTTAAAGGATAATAGAAGGTTGAGTATCAGAGGTTAAACGGTTTTAAATATGGATTAAGATAAGTTTTATTAATTTTACCTCTTTTTTGAATCATTGGAGTTTGGAAACTATATGATCGGAGTGCTGTATTTCTTGTGTATGGCTTTTCTAATCTAATTTTCAAAGTTTATATCTCTAAATCAAGTTATTAATATTAAGGTATCTCTAACTTCAAATAAATTTTTGAACAACTCAAGCCACTACTAGAAGGTTTTTGAGAAGGAAATATAAGCAATTATTCATATAACAATTTAACGATAATTACTAAATTTTTTAAGGGCAAATGATTTCTCCAGTCAATAGAGATAAGTGATCTCCGGTGAGCACAAAACGACATTGTTTTGGAGCGAAAATCAAGGTGTTTTTATAATTTTAATATATTGCAGGATTATATTAGTCTTTATCATTATAATTTTTTAATCTCATAATCCCAAAACGACGTCGTTTTAAACTCACTAAGAAATATTTGTCTCTCATTCTTTAAAGCATAAATGAATCTAGAATATCGAATTAATGCATATAAAAAATCATGATTAGAGATACGAAAGTTCATTTAGCTTAAACCAATCAAGTTAATGCACGGGTTTTCTAATTTTTTTATTTTTTTTTTGATAACAGGGTTTTCTAATTTTATTTACAATAATAAATTTTTTATTCAGAAAATAAATGTTTAATACATACTTATATTGCTAGTTTTAAAAAATTATAATCAAAATTTTCAAAAAAAAAATAGTTTAAAATTTTTATTCAAAATAAATCAATAAAAATATAAGGAAGATTATACTTACAACCTTTTTTTTTCTACAACCTCTTACAACCATATATCATAACCGTTGATTTCCGCCAATCAACGGTTGTCATTTATTATGAATTAAATAATTAATTAATAAGTTTAATTTGTGAAAATCATAACCGTTGATTGGCAGAAATCAATGGTTATGATATATGGTTGTAAGAGGTTGTAAAAAAAAAGTTGTAACTATAACCTCTCCTAAAAATATATTTACAATCTTATAAAATACAATAGAAAAATTCAAATTTAAAGTTTAATAATTATATGACAATTTTGTGTGGGGAAGGTTATACTTACAACCTATTTTCTTTACAACCTCTTACAACCATATATCTTAACCGTTGATTTCCGCCAATCAACGGTTATCATTTATTGTGATTTAATAATTATTTAATAAATTTAATTTGCAAAAATCTTAACCTTTGATTGATGAAAATCAACGGTTAAGATATATGGTTGTAAATAAAAAAGATTGTAAGTATAACCTTTCCCATTTTGTATATATATTTGTAATAATATTTAGATCTACTTTTGAAATTTTATACGTAAAAATTATTATATTTATTTTGACATGTTAAGCTAATATTTAAAAAACAAAAAAATAAAAAACATAAAAATATTTAAAAAAATATTTATTGTCTTTTTAAATATAATTTTCTGACTCAATCTTAGTTACTTTGAGTATTTTTCTATTAAAGTTTTGAATAAAATTATTTTAGCAAATATATATATATATATATATATATATATATATATATATATATATATATATGTATATGTGTGTGTTATATATATGTATATGTGTGTGTCCTTAATCATATATGTGTGTGTGTGTGTGTCCTTAATTTCTTTTTCTTTTTTATTTTCAATTCCGTTCTTTAATTAACTTCTGTCCTAGCTATTTAAGTCATTAAATTAACATGATATTTCTTAAAGACTAACCCTTTACGTCTTCTTGAAAGTTAACTCTGTAAGTGTCATCACCTTAGATAGCAAAACATTAATCATGCAACATAAGAATTAGATTAAATTAATCCATTAATAATATTAATAAAAATAACTTTTAGAAACGTTATGTTAATTCAATTATTTAAAGATTTTCTACCACAACATTGTACATATGTTGCAGTTGCATAAAGTAGACCACCAATGAAGTGGTTCACTGGTGCACGACCTAAAAATACCTAGTGTATTAAGTTTTGTGATATTAAATTACAGTCCCTTATTTTATTTAGTTTTAGCCCAACATCTTTTCAATATTTAATTTTTTGTCCTTATTAAAATTTTCACTCCAATTCTTTATTTTTAAAAATATTCAAGGTGTTGTAATTATTACCTATCTTTTTTTTTTCTTTTTTTTTGGTTACAATTACCTATCGTTTTCAAAGGAATGTAGCAATGTTACATACTAGCAAACAGTATCTACTAAGTGCTTTATTAGGCAAATATATTTGTTTTCCAAGTTCAAAATAATAAACTGATTGCAATGGCCTGCATACTATAATGTACCGAATCAACAAAGGATTAATGAAGTTAATTTTTAAGGTGTGTCTTTGACCCAGAGAAAATACACCCAACTCGAATTGAGTCCAGACTAGGAGCAACCTTAAAGTCGCATTGGTTTAGAGTATCCACATTAATTTTACCAATGCAATCATGATAATGTTTTTAAAATCAAATTTACAGGATCCAATTACAAACTCTTTAAATTAATTACGGATAAATTTTTTATAACATCTATTAAGAATTATAGCATAAATTTAAAATTGATGGTTAAAACGAACTAGCGTTAGCTTCAAAATATCGAACCAAAACCATTTTGTGGTCGTAACGTCTCTTTTGTCAAATTAAGACTATATCTTGCTTATGTTTGACTACTTAAACCATTGGTATTTTGAAAATTTCGAGTACAGCAACGAAAGAAATTCTCACTTCACTTCGTTGTTTTTTCTCCCCCCACACTGAAAGAAACATGATCACTAGACTTCCCTTCACCCTTGAGTGCGTGACTATTCCCAGTACGTCAACTAGACCTCACAATATACTTTTGATGGATTTTGAAATCATACATTACAAGTCTACATACATGATTGTGAGTTCGTTAGCCACACATTGCGGTTAAAAAAAGTGAAAATCCCGCCCTGTAAAGTAAAGAGTATCCCATTGAAAAGATAAATAGAAAGTTATAACAGATGACTGAAAATTGAAAAATTAACTACTGAGATTGGGATAACAAATATACATGTGTATAACAGCTAGGGTTTAAGACGATCAAGGGCAACAAAAGCTCGTGAATATATGAAATGGATAATGCTTCTACAAATATTGTTGAGAATACAAGGTTAAGGAAGTTTCAAAATTGAGGTATTTGCCCTTGCAAAGATGATAGTTCAGTACTAATACTTTAAATCCTAAAACAGCAATCTCTCTTTGTCAACCCGCATGACATATTAGATCAGCAGTCTTCTTCTTAACACATCTAAGGGAAGAAACAAAACCACCTCAGTTCAATGTGCTCTCTATTAACTGAGATATTCAGCAAAATCATCTATTTTCATGATAAGTAGTATATCAAAAATACATCCAGACGAACATCAGATAATAGCAGGCATATATCTGGTACAAGGCCAACATATACCGAGGTGTATTCCCCTACTTTTAAAGAAGACAAGACAGGTTACCTATTCAGTCTTCAAACTTTATTTTCTTTGAAGCAGGCTGGATGTTACCCACCTGCAACAGCAATTACACATAACACGAATGCAAAATTCAAGGCGTTGACTTTCAATTTTAATAAAAACAACTAAGCAACCACAGATTGATAAAGGCAAAATGCTCACAATCTCAGGGCATTCATAATCAATGCCAGCAGCCTCTATCCTTTTACGGCGACTCTTGTCACGCTTCATAATATTTTCCACCAACTTCTTGTGCTCTTCCAATGTTCGTTCCTGAAATGACAACCACCAACGAACATAACAGATTTTATTTTATACTGGGTATCAGACTGAAAAACCAAAAGATATACTTTCTTCTTTGAATTGGATACCTTGTCATGTCGCTCCCGTTCAATTTGAACTGAGTCCAGTGGCTTGAAACGGTAATTGAATCCTCTCCACCTATATAATGAAAAATAACACGTCTTCATATAATCCTCTGATGAAATTCAGGATAAGGAACTAATTATTTTACCTAAGTCATGACATATAATACGACATTAGTTCAGCCTAATGTGACCAGGTACACTATTGTACAGGCTTTGGTTTAAGAAAGGAGAGAAAGATGACTGGAAGTTATGCTGCTTTTTTTTCAGGCATGTGGGGTATTTGTTTGAAGTGCGACGCCAGACTTTTCATTCAGCCATTGATTACAGTACATTTTGGAATATGGTAGTTTTCCTAGCTCCTATTTCGATTTCTGTTCATGGTATCTTTTCAAGAAGTCTCATTTTTTTAGGGGGCACAGCATAACATCTTGTACATAAGTGGGCCTGCAATCCTTCACCTTGATAGTCCAATCTTTATATAGAACAGAAGTAATAATAAACCTATTTATCTGATATCCAGAGGGACTGGAAAGGTATTGTACTCTGACTTATCTTTCTTTTTCTTCAATTCTTGTCAATTCCCCCCCTCCCCCCCCCCCCCTTCCTTCTCTCTCTCTCTCTCTCTCTCTCTCATTATAGGGGGTGATCCTCCTACACTATTTCCTTCTTTTCTCTTACTAAATTATTTCTTCTCTACACAAATAAATAAATATATACATTAACAGTCTAACACTAAGAAACCTTATAAAACCTTAAAAGATAATAGATATTGAGAAAGAATTAATTAATAACTTACAATTTTGGATGAACATGCTCTGGAGGTACCAAATAAACCTGGAGAAGGTGTTCAAATAGCAGATAATTGTGCATAGTATCAGCTACAATTTTTGCAACCTACAGAGCAAGGAAATATTATCAGAGAAAAAGGAGTTTATAGCAAAGATAATTGCCAAAAGTCACAACGCAGAAATCGGTCAGATGAAAAAACAACTACCTCGGGAGATTCAAATTCCATGAACCCAAAATGTCTTGATTTTCCTGTCTGATAAACATAAAGAAACAGATATGGTAAATATCAATCAACTAAAGCCAATATCAATTATCACTAAAAAAAGGTAATTAAACAACAAATATTGTTGAATCCGTGTATTTAATGAAACAAGTAATTTGATGGCTCAAAAGCCATACGTCCTTCAAAAAGACAAGAACCAACCAAAAGAAAAATGATTGAAATATTGATACATGCCAGCTTTATCTTCCAGGCAATGAGTTCTAAAGGTGAGGAACTAAGTTAGCATTTTGATTTTACATTTAAAAAGTGGGCAACCTAGTGCTATAAAGCTTCCGATATGCACAGGTTCAAAGAACGGTCTATATAGAAGGCAGCCTTACCTTGCATTTGCAAGAGGTTGAATGCACAAATCAAACCAGTGACCTCTGGGTCACTTAATACCAAAAGTTGTTTAAATTAAGAAAATATACAATCATAGATACCAAACAAAACATTCAACAAAAGCAATCAACCAATTTATAACTAAAATCAATCAAACAAGAGTAAATTGATCAGTATAAACAAAGCATGCCACAAATTATGATCAAGTTGAAACAAGTGTAGAAAAAAAAAAAAACAAAGATATATATGCGATAACAAGTTTAGGACTCAAACCCTTTTATTCCTTGCAATTCTCAATCTCTTGATGGTTCCAAATTGTCCAAAATAACCTACAATAAGAAATTATAATTTATAAACACATATTCCAGGTAAATAATCTAAAATTTGAAAAATAACAAAAACCCAGGTGCACCTTCCATCTCCTTCTCATAGAATCCATGGGGAATCCGGCCAACATACAAAACCGAGGAAGTATTCTCCGGCAGTTTCTGTTCGGGAATTTTGCGACCAGGACCACCTTCCAAGGGCTTCACCAATTGAGAAAGAAAATTAAGCAAATAAACACACTATTGATAATATCAAACCAAAAATAAAATAAAATAAAAAAGGAAAAATTGAAAATTAAGAGCACAGTTTATCAACATCCACATACCAAAAAATCAGCACCCGCAGATGGCTTATTAGCATGAGCCCTTTTCAAATTCTTCTTCAAAGCTTTCTTTGCCTTGGTCCCCATCTCACTAAGTAAACCCTAAGAATAAAATGTTTCGACACTGTTGGTAAAAATTACCGAACCAAATAGAAACTTAACCATATTCTTCAACTTCCTCTGTGCAGAAATATACAAAAGAAGCGAGAATGGGAATAATCTGAACGACAAGCGAGATATCGTACCTTACGGTGTCACGCTTTCGATTTCGCGAGATGGCGAGACAAAGCAATTGAGGGATAGTGATATTGTGATGGATCGCTCCGTTGGGAGTTGTGAGAGTGAAGAAATTGGTTAAGCTGCTAAGTCTGAAAAACCCTAGCACTATGGAGGTGCAACTGTGCAAGATAACAACTTTTGGCCTCAGTCGAGTTTAAACGCATCGTTCCGTCTAAACCCTAACAAGCTTTCCAAAATATAATTTAATGAAACCTTTTTATTTAATTTTTTCGGAAAATGAAACCTTTTTATTCAAAATCTTCTAAAAATATTGACAAGTAAGATTTTTTATAATATAAAAAATCTGTTTAAAATTTTAAATTATTAAAACATATTTAAAAAAGAGTTTAACGTTCTCATGTATAAATGAGTAAGTTCCATTGATTTTTTTTTTTTATAATAAGATTCACTCATTTTTATAATAGTGTAGCACAGAAGAAATTTCTGCAGCAAAAATATTTTTGTTTTGAAAAATTAGTAATATTATAGAAACTTAATTTTTATTCCCTTTGAAAGCAATTATTTATGTAATTTTCGGACCAAGGATAACAATTAAGTTATTTTATTAATTTTTAAGAACCGACTTCGTGATTCAAACTTCTAGGTAGTGTTTGGTTTGTGAGAAAAAAATTTTTACTAGGAAAATATAATTGATAGGGAAAAATAGTTGGAAAGTGAGTTTAGTAGGAAAATGTAAAAAAAAGTTGTTTGATTGACTCAAATATTACCAGAGAAATTTATTTAAATATGCAAAATCTATGTTCGGGAGAAACTTTGCACCTGTTTTTTCACTTCCCAAGTTATCTCAAAATACCACATCTCAAGTGGTATTCTGTAACAGTGAATTTCATCCAAAAATCAACACAAAAGTCATTTTCCCATCTATCCTATTTGCCTGATATTTCTTGAAAAAACCTGAACCAAACATGATATTTTCCAATATCCACTTACACTTTTCTATCAATCTCAAAATAAACTTTCAACCAAACATTACCTAGTTTGATTTTATTTTATTTTTGCTTAAAGATACTAACAAAATAACTCACAAACAGCAAAACTTGACGGGATTCGAAACCGTGACTAACTTTGTTGATCAGTTTATTTTTACTAGTTGTGTTAAACGTTGCTGACAAGTGACAAGCATGTATTGTAATATTAAATAGTGATTAATATGTATAATAATATATTATTCAAAATAATAAAAGAATTAGATTTATTGTTTAACAAAAAAAATAGGTATATTTTAATTATAGTTTAATTTATTTTAATTATATTTCTTATATGGTTGAATTAATTTATTTTTAATAGTTTTGTAAGAGAGGTTTAATTTTTAACAATTATTTCTCATAATTTAAGCGTACCAATTTTCAATCACCAAAAAAAAAAAAAAAAGCGTACCAATTTTTAAGTGTGTAGGGTTTCTCTCCTCGTCTTTCTCTGATATGAAGTTGAACTGTGCAAAAAAATTATGAAAAACAAAATTCAAGCACTCTAAAATTTTCTTCTAATAAAAAAAAATGCACTCAAAATTTGGGCTTTTGGTGGGTTTACCCAGGCCATATGAAACACTTCTACAGAATAAGTTTGCACATATTTTGGCCCAATAATTTTATTTTATTTTAGAAAATGGCCCAATAATTTTAAACATAAGTTAAGCAGAACTTCCTGACAAATAAAATGGCATCGATGCAGTCCTTGTGGAATTTAATCAAAATATAGAAAGATGTATTGAGAAAGAGAGAGAGAGAGAGAGAGAGAGATGTTAATGTTGCATTCTTCAGCTAAATTTGGAATGAAATATTCACAAAGAATAGAATGTCTCCACCAAAAAAAAAAAAAAAATAGAATGTAAATGGTGGTTACTCTATTCTCATTCTACCATCCTTGTTCCCTTAACCCTTACCAAGTTAATGTGTTTTCAACTCTCTTTCTATCTCTCCTTCGCACACATCTAATCTAAGTCCCCAATGAGACAGAAAAATATCATTATAAAATCAAAGAAACCAGTCAAATCATTATTCATGCCATTCTATTTCTGTGTGGACATAGTGGGGCTTTTCAGGAAGCAACTTTTCGTCCTTCATCTTGAAAGCTTCCCAAAGGCACCATTTGAGGGTCTATGGCAATGGGCTAATATGACTATTTAGAGGCCCGCAAATAGTATTTTCTTCATATGTAGCCCAATTCCCCGATCTCAGCAACACCTATTGTAACTCGTCATATTGTAAAATAAAATTTTATCATCATATTATAAATTTGATATGATAAATCATGTCAAATTGTCAATTTTCCTATATTTACCATTTCATAGAAACCTTTATTTATTTTTTTCATCAATAACAGGCTATACACAAAGAAAAAGTATTCATTCACAAGTCCTAGGCATGTAAGGCCCATATATTTACCGGTCTTTTGAGTCATAGATAAATGCATACAATTTATATAATAGGAAATATTTAAATGACTGTATTTTCCTCTAATTTAACTTCTTGTTTGTATTCCAAAAACCCAAATGTGCAAAGTGCCGTGTACACCATAACTACATTATACAATCAATATAGTCATCATCACCAAATAAGACTTGCTTAATTTGATGCAGTGAAAGGTGGGTAAGAGAACAAATAAGCCTAAATAGGGGTGTTGAAAAAAACCAAATGATCCAAACCAATACATAAACTGAACCAAACCCGTTCCAAAAACTGTTTTTTATAAAACAGTTTAAAAAATCAATCCAGTTTTTTAATTTTGATTTAGGTTCGATTATCCATTTCCACAACAGTTTGGATATCCAACATAACTAAACTATATATATTTTTTTAGTAATTTTTTATTTTTACTTTTTAACTCTATCTTCAATATTCAGAATCTCTTTTTGAGCCTATGAATCCTAACTCTCAAATTCCCAATTTTAATGGATTTGCAGTAACTCTTGAATGGAAAAAGAGCATAGATCATGTTTTTTGATTTGGAACAGGAAAGAAAAATCTGAATCTGATGCTGGAAAAGTAAAAATTTACTTGCTTTGTTTCGATGCAGTAACGTGGTGATTGATTTTAAAACCGGTTTTGGTTTTGAATCATTACAATCAAAACCGATTTTTCGTTTTGAATTTAAAAAGGAGTAAACATTCCTATCTCCTCCCATTACATTTTATCGTTTTTCTTTTTGAATCGTTACAATTAAAACCGGTTTTGATTGATTTTAAATCAAAACCGGTTTTTAATCATAAACCGGTTTTAGAACTGGTTTTAAACTGGTTTAGATAAATAAAAACCGGTTTTGAAAAAAAAAATGGTTCGGTTTTAAAACCAAATCGTTTAAAATCAGTTCGATTCGATTTTTGTCAAAACCAACTATGAACGGCTTCATGTACACCCCTAGGCCTAAATGCTTTTCAGACAGAAGGCAAGATACTGGGAAAATTTATTGAGCTAATCAACTATGTCTCCATAATCCAACCAGTTCAGTATGTCCTGCTAGAAAAACATTTGGATGATTGTGGTAGGGAATTAAGAAAAATATTATAAGGCGTCCTGAATATTCCTGAGGGTTCTGTTAGGTACGTGATGAAAGATTTTTATGTCTCAGTTGACAAAATTTTGTAAGAAGTTTTCATATATAAGATACTTTATCCTAAGCATCAATGTATCTGGTAGTTATTCTTCATGTGTCTTGTCCTTTTGAAGACGGAACTATTAGCGTGGAGGAGAGAAATTCGGTTGCTTGACAATATTTTCCAGTTTCAGTTGTCTAGAGGACTTTGAAAGAAACGTTCTATCAATTAGAACAATTATAATTTATAAGCATCATTATATTTACATATTAAATGAAATCTTAAATTTCAAATGCAATTTAGCTTAATAATCCAATGATCTAATCTAATATATATTTAAGAGGGTTTACGTTCGTGTCTACAGAACATGCCTCCATGACTAGCATAAATTGAATCATAAATTTTCTGCAATATCACGATGTAAGAGAGCCCTAACACAGTGCCCGAATCATTTAATTAGCCTCTTGTGAATGCAAGGTAATACCGTCTAATATGAACCTAATAACCATGTGAATAACAAAAGCTTTACATAGGGTGTGGATGGATCGAATTGAACTGAATTTTTTAAAGAACCGAACGAAATTGATTTAAATGGTTTGATTCGGTTCGAAAACGGTTTGGCTTGGTTGAAAACGGTTTGGTTTGATTTGGAACCAGTTTGGGTCGATCTTATTCTGAAAAAAAATTAAAAAAATAAAGTAATAAAAACTAATTCGGTTCGGTTCAAAAATGATTTGATTTTGTTCGAAAACAATTCAGTTCTTGAACTCGTTTTAAAAATCAGTTCAGTTCATGAATTGGTTCTTTAAAAATCAATTAGGTTCATAAACTAGTTTTTAAAAATCATTATTTTAAATGCAGTTAGGTCGACCAGGACCAAGTTGCTCCATTGATGAGTATGAAGCATTGAAAGCACTATAATCTTTAAAAACAAACAATTTTAATGAAACCCAATGGGAGGAAGGAACATAAATCTGCGTCACCCACTGACTGCCTATTTTCAATTAATGCATGTGTAAGAATGTATCTGGTCTACTCTATTATAATTTGACTATAGAACTGGAGAAGCAATGAGAAGAAAAATAATATATAGAAAGAATGCTATGTGCCTACGTTCTTAAATTTAAAAAAAAAAAAATGCAAACTAAATAGTAAAACAATAGCATATACAAGATTGGAGATTGTTCTCGACCCAACCCATGAATCGCACGTCATCATCTAATAACAACCTAGTAAGAGACCAGGATAAGGAAGCAACTCAAATACCAAGGAATAAGGCCTACATCCCATCCCCAACAATTTGACTACTATTAAAGACTTTACACCTACAAGTAATTTCATTTATAAATAATAGGTTAAGTTTAATATGTACGCATCTTCTAACTCGTAGTCTCTTAACATTCACCGTATGCACATCCCACAATAATCTGCCATCCTTTGTAGTTTGTATCGTCTCTTTCATATACCACCGCGACCGCGAGCATATAGATTCTATATGAGAGAGCATTTACGGTGCACCGGATGCACTGAAATCCAATATATCATATTATGTCTTACATTAAGACATAAAGGTAAAATATAAA